GCATCATGCGTCAGTTCCAGAATTTTTGTCATTTCGATTTTAATCCAATAAATTCTCAAGTTTTCCATAAAATAAGGTAAATAAAGATATTTTTAAATGTTTTATTATATACACAGACTACATAAAGACATAAACATATATATATATATATATATAACAAGATGTTGGAGGTGGCGGCTGGCTGGGCTCTGCTAGGGTTCCCATGGATTGCCTAAGGTTGGTGGGATCTCCTTCCCTTCTTTACTTTCTAATCTCTCCCTACTGGTGTTTTGCCTTCTTTATTTAGAAGCTTCTTTCTGTTCCCTGTAGCTCTTTTCTTTCAAGTGGCAGTCGGGGTACTGTTCCATTAATGTGGAGAGTTGATGGCTGAACCTAGCAATGTGGATTTAGCCACTAATATTCAATGGGCAAAGGCCACTTTTGCTGATGTTATAGGCAAAGGCTTTGACCCTATTAAAAGCTTTTATGATTTGGTCTTCCCTCAAAGCTCCCATGAGGTGGCTGACCCCTTCATTAAACCCCTGAATAGGAAAAGTGGTAAAATGGCAATTATTTATGATGAGGAAGATATTCATAACCTGACTGAAAATTACAAATTTACTATAATAGGCAAATTTCAGCTAGGTCATCCCAAAATGGAAACCATAAGAAAGTTTTTTGATGGCATCAAACTTAAAGGAGCTTGGAGAGTGGGCCTTATTGATGGTAGACACATTTTCATCCATTTAACTAGAGAAGATGATTATGCTAGAGTATTTTCTGAGCAAATCTTATAGATTGAGGGCAACACTATGAAAATCTTAAAGTGGTCTACTGATTTTAATCCAGGCAAGGAACTCCCTATAGTTCCTATTTGGTTCAAGATCCCTGGGCTAAAGCTCCATTTTTTCAACCATAAAGTTTTGTTTAACATTGAACAAGCCTTGGGTAAACCTCTTAAATTGGATGTTCCAACTTTTAATTTATCAAGACCATCAGTGGATAGAATCTTGGTAGAAAGAGACCTTACTCTCTCAACTGTTGATGAAATATGGTTGGGAACTGAACATAATGGGTATTGACAGAGAATCATTGCTGAACAGAAGCCCTACTACTGCTTTTATTGTTGCATGTTTGGGCACAGTGACAATAAGTGTTTTAAACTAAATCCTCACCTAAGGATCCCTAATCATGGGGCCTCAATAGATGCTGCTATGTCTGAGAAGGAAAGGGCTATATCTGATAAGAGTCACGATGAAACCATTTCTGAGAGGAATGCCCATGGTCCTGATGAAACTATTTTGGCCACCAATGCTGTTGTGGCCATTGAGACTGAAATTGTAGACAATCATATAACCATGGCTTTTCCTAACCATTATTTATTTGTTGTGACTAAAAATTTACCCAAGGAGGTTGTTGGCCCTTGAATAATTTACCCAAGGAGGCTGTTGGCCCTTCAATATGTCACCTTGAACCATCTGTAATACAGATCACAATCTGTGAAGATGTTGTCCTTGCAACCTGTAATCCAGAGCCCAAGAACTTTCAGTTGGAAGCTCAAAAGGATTTTCTAGTGGACTCCACTTTAGTTGAGGTACTACAGACTGCATTGGATGATGATTACATTGGCTGATGATTGGCAAACTCAAAAAATAAGAAAAAAGAAAAAGGCCACCCAAGGAGGAACTTATTTACTCAGAGATAGAAATATTCATTTGGAAACCAAGGAGGTCATGACCAGCTCTAGAAGGAGGGGCAAATCCATCTCCTTTGGATGATGAACCTTTTATTTTGGAATGTTAGGGGATTGGCACATCCTAAATCCCTTAACAGACTCAGTGCTTTGAACAGGATGTATAAATTCTAGTTTGTTGCTATTTTGGAACCTATGGTGTCAAAATATCCTCAGAAAATCCTCAGAAAATTCTCTGGTTTTTCTTATTTTGCTAATCTAAACAATAAGATTTGGTTACTACATAGAAAGGAAGTAATGTGTCAAGTCTTGTGGGATCATCCACAATTCCTTCATATTCAATTTAGCTTTGGGGATAAAGAAGACCTGACTACCTTTGTCTATGTTGGAAGCTCTCCTAGAGCCAAAGTGGAGCTGTGGGAGGGTATTCAGAATATCAGCAATTCCTGTAATTCACTTTGGCTCATGGAGGGGGGGGGGATTTCAACTCCATTTCTGGCCCTTCTGAAAAATTAGGAGGCAATCCTCCTAATTCTAATTCTATGAATATCTTTAATGACAACATCAGCTTGGCTGACTTATTTGATCTTGGTTTCACTGGACCTAAGTTTACTTGGAGGAGAGGACCTTTATGGGAAAGATTGGATAGAATCCTAGTTAATTCTCTATGGTTGAATGAATTTTTACACACCTCTATCCAACATCTCAGTATGACAGCCTCTGACCATAGGCCTTTACTCATCACTATTTCTGCATCTCCTGTCAAGCACAAAGCCAGCTTTAGATATCTCAACATGTGGTCCTCTCATACTGATTTTCTTAATCAAGTATCCTTGGGGTGGAGAGATTGCCATCATTCTAACCCCCTGAAAAAACTTTGGTTGTTGCAAAAGAAGATTGACAAACATTTATCTAAATGGAACTGGAATGTGGTGGGAGATGTTAACTTGAGAGTTAAGGAGGCTAATAAGGAAGTGCTTGAAATGGAGGCTAGGCTTGAGAAAAATCCAGATACTGAATTAAATTTATTGCTAGCTAATGAAAAGTTGATGAATGCTATTTGTATGCAGGAGGAATTCTATGCTCAAAAGGCTGCAAAAATCAGATTCTATGAAGGGGACAGAAATACTAAGTACTTTCATGCTTGTATCAACTATAGGAGGAGATGCAATACCATTCACAAGATTAAAGATCCATTAGGGCATTGGATATATTCTGAAGACTTAATTGCAACAACTGCCATACAGTATTTTCAAACTTTATTCACTCAACCTCCATTCACCAGAATGTCAATCCAGCAAGATCTATTTGATCAGGGATATACAAGAAATCTAAAATTGGATTCTATCCCTGGGGAATTGGAAATTTGGTCAGCCCTAAACTCAATTGACAGCTCTGAAGTTGCAGGCCCAGATGGTTTCTCAGCTGATTTCTACAAAAAAGCTTGGAAGATCATCAAGGGGGATGTCATTGAGGCAGTACAAAGCTTCTTTAAAGGGATGAATTTGCCTAACTATTTTAACTGCTCTACCATTACATTAATCCCCAAAAATAATTTCAAGATCTCTTGGGATCAGTTCAGGCCAATTAATCTCACAAATATTTTGTCCAAAATTATTAGCAAAATCATTTCCAAAAGATTGCAGCCTCATTTACCTCATCTTATCAGTGAAAATCAATCAGCCTTTGTGCAAGGAAGAAGCATAGTGGTAAATGTCCTCTTGGCTCAAGAGCTAGTCCTGGACTTGGACAAACAGTGTAGAGGAGGGAATCTTATTTTCAAACTTGATATCCAAAAGGCATATAATACCATTAACTAGGACTTCATTGTAGAGGTGTTGTCTGCTAGGGGTTTCTCTCAATCCTTTATTTCCTTGATCCTAAGGTTGTTGACAAATAATCATCAATCTATTTTCATTAATGGGAAGTCTCATGGTTTCTTCACTGTTACTAGAGGCATCAAGCAAGGTGACCCCTTATCCCCTACTATCTTCATACTTGCATTTGATTAATTATCTAAACTCCAGAATCAACTTATGGCCAAAGCTCCTCACTCCTTATATAGCCACAGATCTAACATTGCAGTTAACCACTTAGCCTTTGTTGATGATGTTATTATATTTGCAAAAGCAACTAAACCCACAATCAAATTGTTATTTTAATGTCTGGAGAACTTTCAAGATTGCTCCAGGATGAAGTTTCATAAACAGAAATGTCAGGTTGTCTTCAGTAAAAGGGTGAAGCCTGAAATCAAACACTGGATTTCAGATTTCATTGGATTTTGTTCCAGTTCTCTACCTCTGAAATACTTGGGTACCTTATTGATTAAAGAGAGGACTAGGCAAGTCCAGTTTGATGATATTTTTCTTAAAGTCCAAGATAGACTCAACAGCTGGTCCAATATTTTTCTTTCCAATGGGGGAAGAATTACTCTCCTTAAAAGCATCTTGGGAGCTCTCCCATCTTATTTATCTCAGGTTTCTTTTATGAAGAAATCCATTCAAAGCTCACTTGAAAGAACTTTCAATAGATTTATGTGGGCAGGCCAGAGAAAGAAAGTGCATTGGATGAGATGGAAAAGAATTTTTGGCAGTGCTAGAGCTGGAGGTCTGGGGTTTAAAAGTTTCAAGCAGATTTCCCAAACTAATTTTTGCAAACTTTGGGTTATGTTTAGAGCACAGACTTCAATTTGACAAAATTTCTGAAAGGAAAATACTGCAAAGATTAGCATCCTTCTCTTGTGACCAACAGATTGGGGGATTCTAGAACTTGGAAGAACATGTTGAAGATGAGAACAAAGGTTGAACAACTTTTCATTTGGGATATTGGGGAAGGCAAACTCAATGTGTGGCTTGATAACTGGACTGGAGAAGGCTTAATCCCTCCTCCAACTGGCTCTCAATTCAACTCGACAACATAGGTGGCTGACCTTTGGTCTGCTAATAAATGGAACCAGCAAGCTGTTCAGAATATCCTTGATAACAGATTACTTAACATTATATTGAAAAAAACCCATTGACAGATCCAAGAAAGACAAACTTATTGTGAAGAAAAAGGTTTCTCAGACATTTTCAGCTTCTATTGCTAATTTCTACTTTCCTCAACAGGAGACCTCTTGGATTAAATGTGTGTGGAAAAAGTTTCTTTCTCCTTCCATGGCCTTTTTCTTTTGGAAGCTCTTCTATGGCTTCATTCCTACTGATGATATTTTAAAGTTAAAAGGTTTGAGAGGCCCTTCAAGATGCTGCCTGTGTAAATGTGAGGAGGAATCCCTCCCCCACTTATTCTTTAAATGCTATCAAGTTCATCAGGTTTGGAACATTTTGTTACCCAAACTAAAACTAAATACCATCCAGCTGTCTTGGGATGTGTTTTATTTAAGCTGGAAAGACTGGCAGGACCAACATCTCCCTCCCATCCCTTGTATCATGGCTTGGTTTGTTTGGATGGCAAGAAATAAGCTGATATTTGATGAGGTCCATTGGGATGCCAATGCCATTACCACTCACTGTTACAATTATTTACAAAAACTGCACTGTCATAGGAAACTTCCTGAAATCCTATGCACATCCTCCCTCATTGGTTCAAGGAAATTTCAAACTATCCTTGTTCACTGGAATTGTCCTCCTATGGGTTGGGTCAAAGTCAATACTGATGGTAGTTTCATTTCTCCCAATGCTGGCTTTGGAGGGGTGAATAAGCTTCATCAAAAGGTTTTGACATTAACGAACCACCAGCCGCAACATCTATAATTGATCTAAGTGATCCCACAAATCCATTATAAAAAGTTTGAATTATCAACCAATCTGGTAATGAATGATGAGGGCATTTCCTAAGAAGATCTTTAAGTCTCTATCGGCGTTATTTTGGGTTGGTTTGTGGGGTTGCCCGTAAGAAGCTGTCGGTCACCAAAATCGAAATCTCATCGCCCGCTTCGGAAGGACGTTGAAGTATGAAATCAAACTGACCTCATATTTTTCATGGTTTAAAATGAAAGAGCAATGTACCTCAAATCCTGTATCTAACCCAAAGAATAAACACAAGACTTGACGATGAGGCTTGATCAAATAAATTAAGGAAAGTATGACGTCCGTTTGGTCTGCGAAACCTTTGTATTTTCTGACAAGTTCCCCTATGTCCTTACTGTTTAGTTATGTTTCATTTTTTTCTTCTTTTCAGCCCTATTGTTTGGGGACAATTTTTTTTTGGATAGGTTACATTAGTATTTTGTTTTCTCTTGGGAGGCCTTGCCCCCTTTTGGGTGATCCTTGGTTTTTGTCTGTGAACCAAGCTCCATATAGCTTTGTAACCTTATTTCAGTTTAACACGTAGGGCGTATATATATATATAATTTTATAGGAATTAAAACATGCTTTGTAGGAAAAGAAGAGAACACAAGCTTGAGGTGTGTCTACCAAACCCTATGTCATACCCTAATAAGTCAAATTTAATCACTTATGGGGATGATCCCATCAAACAAATAATAATATGTCCAAGTTTCCTCCAAGATTCCCAAAGGATCATAAAAAGTTCTGGGTAATAACCTAAACATTTCACAGTCCCTCGAATTATCTCAAGTTCATTTTGGTCTTATTATGTTTGTTATGTGTTTGACCCAATTAATGACCTTATGCTCAATTATAATTAATGACCTTATGCTCAATGAACCTTGATGTTTTGATTATCCCTTTAAGTGGGGTAATTATCATTTGATGTTTCACTTATGAATTATGCGGGTAAAGGCCCTTGGGGGCGATTTGGCTTAAGTAAGTGACTTAGCCGGTTTGATTTTTAAAGATGGGCTTGCAGTGTTTTAAAAAGTTTCAAATTAATTATAGGTCATTTTCTAAACCTCATTACATAAGATTTTGATTAAGCCTGATTCACTACTAAGCCCTTAAACTTAATGCGTAGATTTGTGATTTTTAGGCAAATTTAAATATTTATATTTTTAACCCTTATCAAAAATCATAAGTAATTTTAAAATCATTAATTGGGGTTTTAAATCAGTGGGTTTTGATCTTCCAAATTCAAACCCTCAAGCACAATATCTTCTTATTTAATTGCTCTTCCAAATTTAAACAATCCTAGAAATTACAAATTTATCCTTAATGAGACCAAAGTGAGATTGGTTGCTACCGTTTATCTCTTTTATATTTCAATCATCAAGACATGTCAATTAATATTATTTATTATCAATTTAACCTTTGGTTAGACCTAAATATTAATTAAGACTTAAATTCCAAAATTACCATTTTGCCTATAGGGCCTTAACACCCCATAATTCATTAAATTAAACCCAAATGACTTTAAAATTTTTATGTTACCCCATTAATGGGTTAATTAAAATATTAGAGGAGGAAATGTAATTTTTATGAATTTATTTAATTTTATATTTATTTAAATGCAAAAAATAGGGATTTTTAATGAAAATTCAATAACTCAGTAAAAACAAAATCTATGTCCTTACAAAAATTACTGAAGGTTCACCTAGGTTAGAGGACCACTTGGACCAAATTTCATGATTTTTAGAGATTTAATTTAATTATTAGATTATTTTTTTATTTTTAGTATTAATTAAATATAAAATATTTTTTAAGTGAAAAATTAAATTTTATATTATTCTTAAATTTCTTTGAGTCCAGGGAACCTAGAGACAAATTTCATATTTTTGTGGTTTATATTTTATTTATTAGAATTATTTTAGTGGAAAATTAATGAAAATTCTTTTTAAGCCTTAAAAAAATTAATATCTTGACTTATAAAATTAGGAGAATTATTTTAATTGGTCTCAAATGGTCAGGAAGCCAAAAGTGACATTTTAGTGTGTTTTCACAATTTTGTAATTTTTATGATTTATAATTAATTTTTATTTATTTAAATAATTAAAAAATTTTAAAAAAAATGAAGTATTACTTTTAATTCCACTTTTATTTTACTTAGGTTCCTCTAGTTATAAGGAGCTCCTAAAACAAATTTGGTGATTTTTAAAGTTGTATTTTAATTATTATAATTATTTTTATGCCAAAAATGCAATTTCACTTAATTAATCCATTTTAATGGTCAAATTAATTCCAATTGACTTGAAATTTTTGTGGGAAGCTCCTCTAATATTAAATTACAGAGAAGAATAATTTTTGTGCCATTTAGTTTTATATTTTGTCCAAATTAATTATATTTCATTTTTAGGGGTTGATGACAATTAGGGTTATTTTTAAGAGGTTAAACCAAGTTTGTATTTTTCCTAGGGTCCTCTGATCATAATGAACCTACCAAAACAAGTTTTGTATTTTTATAATTAATATTATAATTTTTATAATTATTTTACCAAAACAGACACGACATGCTCTATGCCTAGGACCTCCCTTGACCTTAGAAAATTTAAGGAAGATCCCTCATGACAGAGAAACCAAAAACCCTAATCTAAGTCATGGTGAAATGTCCATGCAAATGGAGAATCTAAAGAAGGAATACACTA